GGCGCTTCTCCGAAGACTCCCCAGCTGGATCGAATTTTGCAAAAGATAAAAGTAAGCACTTCGATAATTTCCACATGGGATCTCAGCTCTCTTGTTACAGGGGAGAGTCGCACCAAAGTGTGAACGACTACATTTGGTGAAGTCACTGGACATGCATCAATCCGGTGTCATCGTGTTCGCTACGTAAGCAAGCATACCCTTGAATTTGAGTTATTGTACTCTCATATATCTTCTTTATTGTTTAAGGAATTCGTTGATGCAGTCTACGCTGAAGGAGTGTATAAATTCGGGTCAAATGGAACAAGTCAGCAGGTCAAAGCTCATGTACACAGATTTTTTTCCTAATACTTCTCTCTTTTTAGATGCATTGTTCGCGGCGAACTCTCCGATTCGCCTGTGAAAATAACGATACCGCTCATCAAAACGGTGAATGGAAGAGATATGAAGGTTGGTTGATCACTTTAGACCATTCTGCTACTTCATATTTCAAACGATATTTTGAATCTTTTGCTTCTTCTTCATCTTTTTTGACTTTTTGCATTCTCTTTTTGTATATATGCACATGTTCTTTGGCTAACCTTATTACAAGTTCAGATGATGCCATTGGTCACCAACAAAGCGAAAGGAGATATATTCTATGTAGAATCTGAGTGCCGCACTATTAGAGGAAATCAGTATGTCTCGAGCGTGGAGGCGATTACACATAAAGGTAGGTTTCAATATTTAAATGTTCTTGCATATTGATGTTTTCTTCAGAAGCACCCCATCAAGTACGTGCTCATCTTGGGTTAGCTGGTTATCCTTTGATTGGGGATGCGAAGTATAGCACTTCTTCACCACGACCGCCAAGGTTTGCCGTTTCCCAAGTCTTCTTTGTTATGACTGGTTGACCCTCATCTTACGTTGTTCTCTTTTATTCTCGGTTTGGCTTAATAGTTTATTCATACCGCAGTCCATACGGATAAAGGACTCATTTTTGATTGCATTCTAGCCGGTGAATGAGCACTTTTTTCACATTAACTGAGTGTTAAAGTACTCTCACCCGGGTATTTAGAGGAACGAACACCACAACTAGGCACCGCCTTCGCGGACTACTGGGCGATGTATAGCAGTGGGGTGAAAGGACCAACAGTCCGCGAAGGAGGTGCCAAACTGAGGTGTTCGTTCCCCTACCCCGCTCACCCCAACGGGATTGTAAACGGGAATTCTAGACCAGAAGGCCCTCATTCATTATGATAAGACAGTAACAACATCACACTGGTTACAGCGAAAGGCCCTACCTTCTTCGCTATAAGTGTCCAAAAAAATCATGATGTAAGGGAATAAATCTTTTCGGTGGTCAACTAAGCGTAGTCCAAGACTGTTACAAAGCTAAGAGAGTTGCTTTCTTTTAGGCAAGTTTTG